CCTACCCACTCCATGACAGTACGATCTCTTGCAATTTGTATGGGAGGAAGTCTTGGGAGCGCTTTCTTGATTCTCTCAACCAAATCAATATCAGCTTTTCCCAAAAGCTACATAATTGACCGGTTACAGTACATACATGTGTCATTACCCCAAGGTGCTCAAATTAGTTACCATAAGTGATTGTCGCTTAATTACCTCCGCAGATGCAAGGACTGCAAGGAAAACCTCCCGGATGATTGAGATGTCCATTGTTGTCGAGTAACTCACGCTTGCTGGTTTACCATCAGGAGCTATGAAAGCATGCTCCGGAGAAGTTGAGGGATTGGTTTCCAGATAACCTCCAGGTCCTTCAATCAACCAGTCGACCAGAAAGTTGGCACAGCCTTCCAGCAGTGGATATGCTGTGTTTTCCAAAAAGTCCTGAAAAATATCTTACAAGACAGTAAATATTTCACACCTTCGAACCACCAAATAACTATTTTTCCTAAGTAGTTTGAGGATTATTGTTCTAATTTTGTATGTCTGACAAGGATTGCAAATACTCGGATCTGTTTTTCTTAAAGTTTGGGGCACAATAACATCACTGGAGAGTGAACTAAAATAAGAGAGTAGTACAACGATTTGGTGCCTACTTTGTCCATTGAAAACTGGTAGTGCTCCCATAGGTGTGTGCAAAGCCAGGCTCCTCCCATGGGCCACACAGCATGCTTTGGATTCTTAAGGAACGCCGATGATTTTGCCCATATATCCGACACATGATGTGTTACCCATCCACCTGCTTGGTAATTGACCTGCCACAGTCACATAGTTCCCCGCAGTAAGTAAGCCAAAGGAAACAGGCTTCTGAAATTTAACTTCAATATTTCTACGAAATGGAATAAATGGTACTGATTGTTTGAACGGAACTGTACTACCAGATTTTACTGCAGCATGGTCCAAAGTACCAAGAAAAGAATAACATGAAGATATTGCAGTATGACATATACATCTAGACTAACTTAACACTTTGTGCACAGTCACTTCTCTTTCCTTTCATGACTGAGGCACAAGTTGCAATAACTGTCAATATGTTAAAATGTTTCATCAGCTCCAATCCTGGGTAATCAGAGCCAGAACTTACTTTTGCTGTTTTAATCCCGTTAACCGCAAGTGATCCTAGAAAATCAAACAATGGTTCTTGGCATTCGCTAAGGTTGCAAGGAAGTGCTGGCCAGTAATTCATCTGTAGATTTATGTTCAGATGAGGAGCTGCACTGAAAATAAAAGCAGGCAAAGTGTTCAACATATTGAGCTAATATGGAACCTTGAAATTAAAGATGAACTTGAGTAGTCCCAAATTGAAATTGATCTATCAAATAAAGAAAGCGTCCAAATGTTATTTACTTTTATTTATACATGTAGTACACACAGTTACTTATATGAGGTGAGTACTAGCTAAATCAATAAAAAACAGGCCAAAACAGCATATAAAATTATAAATACTACAGTACCACTTGTAAGTCAATAACCAGCTAGTTACTTCAAATATTTTAAATACATATATAGAGATTTTTTTTGAAAAGAATCCATATATAGAGATCAAACTGTAATAATTATATCTAGAGATTGTGCACTACAGGATTCATGGAAATAACATCATAAATTCGAGTAAGTACTACCAACAATACAATACTACAGTGCCACTTGTAAAGTCAGTAACCAGCCTGTTGCTGCAGATATTTGTAATCCATATATAGAGATGAACTGTACTAATTAGACCTAGAGATTGTGTACTACTACATGATTTATCAAAATTACATCTAAATTTGAGTAAGTACTTCCAACAATACAATACTATATTCATATAGTACACAGTACGCACCCTGCAGGGACTACATTAATACTTCTTACTTAGCATATAACCAACTGAAAATGATTAGAAAACTGAGATCAACAAATGGAAGTATGAGGCAAAAGAATAATAATTATATCTAGAGAAGAAAGCTCTTACTCCCACTCAGGTGCAATATCTTGGCTCCAGATTCCTTGCAGATTAGAAACCTGAGTTCCAGGCCGAGAACAGGAAATGAGGAGATAGCGACCATACTGAAATAAGAGTTCAACCAGAGAAGGATCCTCATCAGTACTGAAACTCTTCACTCTATCTGCTGATGTTCTGATGTCTTCAGCAACTTCTTCTGGTCTATCTTTCTGAATCACCGAAGAGCATGCGTCATTCAATCCTCGTGAAAGTTGCAACGTCACACGGTTAAAAAGGCTCTGATAATCATCCAAATGGGCGGCTTTAAGCTGATCAAATGTGAGGTTCCTGCTGTAATTCAGCGTACTGAGAGCTAGAGACGTGGGGTCTAGTTTAGAGTCTGCAGGATTAACAAGTGGCCTGTCGAATGAGGATGCTGCTGCAACTATGAAAAC